AAACTTGCTATGGGAAGCAAGTATATGTGAGTGACGTGAAGGGGTGGGCTGTAGTGAATATGTGGACGTAGTAGATCCACTCTTCTTAGCTGATGACTCATCCCACAGCTACTGGGAATACTGGCTACTGCTGGGTCACTGCTATGTCCCGTACTAGGAATTGCCTTTGGCCATAGGGAAGGGATTTGACCAAGGCATGTCCTTTCCTAAGGGGAAGCCTGTAGCTAGTGACTTATCATTGGTGTTATGAGTTGAATTATGCCAGCCACACAGGATTATCCAGTCTTGAACTTCCCCAACCCCACAATACCCTAAACAAGCAATATGGAGACCCTACAGAACTCCCAGATCTGAGGCCCAGGGTGAAAGCAAATGTGTCTCTTGGGCCAGGGCTTCTCTCTCATTGAGGTACACCCAGGGGTTCTGTTGTGGCTCCAGGTCTTAAATGCCCATGGTGAGGTCAGAGTTGGGCTGGGGACCACTAGGAAGAAGAAGAGTCTTTTGTGGGCAACCATCCCACCCACAGCCCTGGAGCAAGAATCCAAGCTGGGCCACTAAGGGGTCTTGTATTCATTCTCAGAATCCACCTGTCAGGACCTCCTCACAGGGACAGTGGACATTCGTGGACAGAAGAGAGCAGCAACAAGACTGTTTAGTGGGGAGAGCCTGAGGATTCAGGGCTGCCACTGGGTATCACCTGAAAAGTGACATTCTGTCTCACTTTCTTCTGCCCTTCTCTCTACATTTCTCTCTCAGACTCCAAGTCCCCATGTGCCCCCTGCCCCGCCTCCAGTTTTCTCCCTTTCTCTCTTCCAGGTTTTCCCAGTGTTACCCTTCTCTCCTAGCCCCAAAATGCTCTAGACTCCTCATCTCAGACCTGGGGATTTTCAGCGCACCCCAAGCAGAGCGGACAAGGCAGGGCATGGCAGGATCTGTCCCTAGTCATGGAGAGAAGGGTTGCAGGCCCTGAGGCCTTTGGGTCTCCAGAGGAGTGGGCTAGGGGTGGAGTCCATTCATTCATCCATTTATTACACATTCAATGAACAATTATTTTTAACCTACTATGTCCTGATATTGTGCAGCCTCTGGGGTCACAAATGTGAAAGCGGCTCAGGCTCTGTCCTCTAGGAACCAGTGAGGGAAGAGGCTGATCAGTGAACAGGTGACTACAGTAGGATCCAATGAGGACCATAGTGGAGATCTATAAGGGGGTTTGGGATTTCTCAGGGTGCAGACCTACGAAGTCACTCCGTTAGGGGCTGCCAGGAAGACAGCTGTGGTGGGGCCTGCATTCAAGGGTAACCTAGCTGTAGTGTGGGGGTGGAGGCCAAAGAAATGACCCAGGCAGGGGCTGATAGGGAAGGGCTCTCTTAGCACAGGCCACTCCCAGCAGACCTGCTTTCCTTCCCCTGCAGGCTCTGGGGCTGGGAGCATATTCAGAGGGCTGATCCCACTGACACCCTCACTGACCCCTCCTTTCTTCTTTCCGCCCCTCCCTGAAGGGGTCTACTGAGAACCTCTAGGGGGAAATTCTGGTAGAGGTGGCAGAGAATGGTGGGGGTGGGGTGGAAGAATAGGGAGACCCCAGAATGCTGGTACTTCTGTGGGTCACCCACAGTGGTCATGAGGGGTGCTTGTATTTTGTTCCCTGTGTCCCTTACTCTAGCCCCAGGAGATGCACCCCCATCATGCTCGCCTCAGGCTCCTTGGCCAGCACACCCACAAAAAATTCCCTTGGATGGTGTCACCCCTCTGTTCCTTAGCCCCCAGGGAGGTTCCTCCCTTCCCACTGGCTTCAGTCCGAGCAGGTCCTGGTGACATTCAAAGCCTCAGCACCCTCCCTGCCCCTAGGGTCACCACATCCACCAACACGCCAGTCCCTGGCAACTTCCCTAATCTGTTGTGAGACCAGACTAAGCCATGTAAGGTCTCTGCACCTCAGTCTCCTCATCTGTGAAGTGGGATGAATGTCATCGCTCCATGATTATTACCAGGGACAGCAGGGACAATGGTGACTAGGGACTAGACTCTGGAGCCAGACTAATGGGGGCATTAAACAGATGTGGGTCTCCCAGGGGCATGGCCAAACACCTTTATCTTCAAACAGGTGCTTCTTGTACCTTCACTGTCCCATGCATTGTACTCTACTATTTCCCCATTCTCCAATTTACTCTTATCCTTTCCACTCTCCCATCCCATTAACTTCACATTGACACCCCCCTCCAGCCTTAAATGGCCTCCTCCTCTTCTCTACATCTGCTCTTCCCCTAGCCCCACACTGACTTCCTCCATACTCACTCTACACATTGCAAATGCATTTCTCAGTGACCCCTGGGGCTGCGACCCTGAGAGGGGACCAGGGCCTCACGATAGCCCAGCAGGTTTTCAGAGGCCAGGAGCAGGCAAGAGGTGGGGTCCTGCTTGTGCAGTGGCTGACCTTCACCCATCTCCTCACTGTGACCTTGAGGCCTCAGGGGAAGAAGACAGGAGAGTGCTTGAGTCCACTTGAGCCTGAGATGGGGGTCCTGGGCTGGTCCTGGGGGCTTATGGGCTTTCTGGCCTGTGTGGGTCTTGCTCTCCCAGGGGCCTGATAACTAGATGACTTACAGATAGGCAAGACATAGGAGGTTTAGCCACAGCAAGGGAGTTTACTCTGTTCTCCCAACCCTGATATCCTCATCAGAGATGCTCATTGTTAATTTTTGTGGATATCTTCCTAATTTCCACCACCTTTTAAAAGAATGACTTTATACGACATGTGTGTAAATCTATGCTTATATTTAGTTGATCTTGATTTGATGAACTTGCTAATCTTGCTAAATCTTGTACATGCTTCTATATTAGTAGATAGAGAACACACCCATTCTTCTAATTGTTATTTGGTATACCATTATTTAAATGAATTGAAATCCATCATACTAAGTAACGTAAGTCAGAAAGAGAAAGACAAGCACCATATGATATCACTTATATGTGGAATCTAAAATATGACACAAATGAACTTATTGATGAAACAGAAACAGACTCACATAGATAACAGACTTGTGGTTGTCAAGAGGGGGCAGGGGGGAGAGATGGACTGCGATTTTGGGATCAGCAGATGCAAACTACTATATATATAGAATGGATAAACAACAAGGTCCTATTGTATAGCACAGGATATTCTATAACCTGTGATAAACCATAATGGAAAAGAATATGAAAAAGTACATATATATATATATATATATATATCTGAATCACTTCGCTGTACAGCAGAAATTAACACAACACTGTAAATCAATTATACTTCAGTAAAATAAATGTAAAAAGATAAATGAATTGAAATCCATTTAATGAATACCAGCCAGGCTTTAATGAGTATCACTATACACATTTGTGTCAATGGGTCAGTATTTGAGGTATTCTTCTTTGTAGCCATTTACATAGGAAAGAAAGGACAGGTCCTCTAGGTTTTCCTTAGAAGGGGCTCAGCTATTGGGAGCCATCCTGGTGCCTGAGTCATAGGTGCCCTTATGACATCACGGCTCTCTCCCCTCCTCTTCCCTTCTTGCCACAGCAGTGGCTGGAGAACAGACTTGAGAGCGATGGGAACATCTAGACCCTAACCATGGGTAATTGAGTGTAGATCTGAGGGGATTTGACCATCCCCCAAAGCCATCGGCATTTAATGTTTTATAAGAGACAGTCAGATTTACCCAAGCTTTCTGGAGGGCAGTACATTTCCCATAGTTTCCTCAGGAGGGGATCCCTTCTCATGTTTGAGATCCCAGGGAAGTCCAGGAAGCCTAGTGTGTGGGTGACTTGGCACTTAGTGGTGGGAAGAGCACCCTTACTTTCATGTTTTTCTCTCTAAACTCTGATAAGGACAGCAAACCTTCCAAATTATAATCAAAGATAATGATGAAGTCGCATTGATAGAAGAGAGCTTGAAGGAGCAAAGGAGAGGAGAGCAAGGGACTCCACCTCCAACTGCCTACCCACACCACTGCCTCTGCCTTCCCACCCCTCCCTGCGTAGATGGATCCAGGCTGTACTGTGTTGGAGAGAGCCTTGACTTGTGACATCTCTGACCCTTGTGGTCCAGTGGAGTGACCCAAAGGTCTGTGACCATGCAACTTATTGTCCAAAGAGAAATGCTTCAGGGAGTTAAAGAGACACTTATCAAAATTATACCAGGACAATAGGCATAAACCCAGGGTGTGCCAGGCAAACTGGGATGAATGGCCACCATACACAGAGCAGAAAATGAACAGGGATCCACTCCTCCTTGGCTGTCCTTTCCCCCTATTTTCTCCTTAGGCTAAGAGCTGTGAGTCCAGCCAAGGTGTGTGCCAAGGAGGAGCGCAAAGAGTTTGAGCCCAGACCACACATGGTTGAGAGCTACAAAGTGGGGATTGTGTTTGGGGAATGCAAAGGCCAAGGTACAGGAAGACTGGATCGTGTGTGCGTGTGCGCATGTGTGCACACGTATCTTTGTGCATGCGCATGCATCTTTGTGCGTGTGCGCATATGTGCACATGTATCTTTGTGTGTGCATGCATGTGTGCGGAAGCAGGACATTTACTTGATCTCTGAGGTCCAGCTGCTGCCCACAACAGCTCTCCTGCCACACCTTAGGGCCGAAATGTATGTTTCTTTTTTTAAAAATAAATCTATTTATTTATTTATTTTTGGCTGCATTGGGTCTTCGCTGCTGTCTGCAGGCTTTCTCTAGTTGCAGTGAGTGGGGGTTACTCTTTGTTGTGGTGCGCGGGCTTCTCATTGTGGTGGCTTCTCATTTTGTGGAGCACGGGCTATAGGCACGTGGGCTTCAGTAGTTGTGGCACTCGGGCTCAGTAGTTGTGGCTCGCGGGCTCTAGAACGCAGTCTCAGTAGTTGTGGTGCAGGGGCTTAGTTGCTCCATGGCATGTGAGATCTTCCCAGACCAGGGCTCAAACCCATGTCTCCTGCATTGGCAGGCGTATTCTTAACTACTGAGCCACCAGGGAAGTCCCTGTATGAGTTTAAGTGTCCCCTGTTTTCTCTTGCAAGGCCCCAAAGTAAGACTCATGATGATGCAAGAACAGAAAGCGGCTGTTTTCATCCAAGCCTGGTGGCGGGGCACCCTGGTGCGCAGGACTCTGCTGCACGCGGCTCTCAGAGTGTGGATCATTCAACGCTGGTGGAAACAGAAGCTGGTGAAGCTGCAGGAGAAGAGGCGGCGGACGTCTCTAGAATTCTACGCGCGGCAAGAATGGGCAGCTGTCAAGCTACAATCCTGGTTCCGCATGTGGTGCATCCGCCTTCGTTACTGCCGTTTGCTCCACGCTGTCCGCATCATTCAGGTCTATTGGCGCTGGCATAGTTGCCATACCCGTGGCTTTATTCAGGGCCATTACGACCTCAAAGAAAACCAACTGAATCTTCAACTTGAAATCTCTTTGGGCTCGCAAGCTTGTAGAGTACAACAGTGCATAGCCCTTCCAATAAAGGAATGACCAGGTCTGCTATATGTGTCCCCAGCTCTTTGTCAGACATACTTCAAGGAGGTCATTGAGGTAATGATGGCAAATACTTGGCATCTCATAAATCAGCTCTAAGGAAGTGGCAGGGGTTGCCTGGGGTCCAGTGTGGAGGATTCTGAGAGTCTGGTGCTCTATGAGCAGGGCCTGTAATTGATTAGCAATGTCTGCCATGGGTAGGAGAGTTGGGGTTGCAAGGCCAAGTCTTCCAACTCCAGGGAGATTCTTTCACAGTGTGGTCTATGTAAATGGTGCCCCGATGTAGTTGTGCAACGTGAAGTCCTGTGTCATCTTTTGCTCTTTCCCCCAAAGTCTTTGAACAATAATTCTTCATTCTCCCCTTCCCCAGCCTCTGGCAACCACTATTCTATTTTCTGTCTCTATGAATTCGATTACTCTAAATGCCTTATATGAGTGGAATCATACAATATTTGTCCTTTTATGACTGACTTATTTCACTTAACATAAGGTCTTCAAGGTTTAGTTGTTTTAGAGTATTTTTACATTAAGTCCACCACCTTGTCTTTCTCAGGGACAGTTTCTGTTGATTTACTTTTTTCCTTTGAATGGGCCATAATTTTCCTCTTTCTTTGTATGCTTTGTATTTTTTTGTTGTTGTTGAAGATTGGACATTTGAATCTCATAATGTGGTTATTCTAGAGGTCAATTTTTCACTCTTTCCCTGATTTTGCTGTTGTTGTTGGTTCGTTGTAGGGTGTCTCTGTGCTGGGGATCAGTATAGGTATAAACTTAAGGTCTTCTCCAGTCTTTTCTGGGCCTCCACCTTTCCCTGGGCATACATGGTGACTTTTAAAATTTCCTTGTATATGTGGTTACTTTTTTTTTTTTTTGCGGTACGCAGGCCTCTCACTGTTGTGGCCTCTCCCATTGCAGAGCACAGGCTCCGGACGCACAGGCTCAGAGGCCATGGCTCACGGGCCCAGCCGCTCCGTGGCATGTGGGATCTTCCTGGACCGGGGCACGAACCTGTGTCCCCTGCATCGGCAGGTGGACTCTCAACCACTGCGCCACCAGGGAAGCCCTATGTGGTTACTTTTAAGTGTCCTAGTCCTTAAGGGTCTGGCTCCCAAAAAGGGAAAAAGAGAAAAGGGGTGGGGGAGGAAGGAGAGGTCCCATCTCTTTAAATCCCCTGTAAGCCACTTCAGCTGGAAGGGGAGGGTGTTGCAACAACTGTGGTGGGGATTGCAACAATGGCTCCTGCCTCTGTTTCTGCACCTCTGTGATCACAAGTAGTCATCAGCAAAATGAGCACAGATCCGTAATATTTGAAGGACAGATTCTTTATTGCTCACCTTGGATTCTGCAAGCTTCATACAAATTTCTCCAGAACTCATTCACGGATGCCTGGAATAGCGCTGGGGGCTAGGGTGTCAGGGATGGATAGCCAGTACCATAAAAGCTGAAATTAACCAAAATTAATGACAGTTTACTGTCCAAATTTCTGGAACGATGCCTTCAATTAGACCCTAAAGACTCTACCAATAAACTGTTTGAACTAATAAACAAATTCAGTAAAGTTGCAGGATACAAAATCAACATACAAAAATCAGTTGCATTTCTATATAATAAAAATAACCTATCTGAAAAAAGATATTTTAAAAAGTCTCATTTACAACAGCTTCAAAAACAATAAAATACCTAGGAATAAATTTAACCAAGGAGGTGAAAGATCTATACATTGAAAACTAAAGAAATTGAAGAAGATACAAATAAATGGAAAGATATCCCATGTTCAGGGTTCAGAAGAGTTAACACTGTTAAAATATCCTTACCAGCCAAAGCAATCTATAGATTCAGTGTAATCCCTATGTTAATTCCAATGGCATTTTTCACAGAAATAGAAAAATTCCTAAAATTTGTATATAACTGTAAAAGACCCTAAATACCTAAAGTATTCTTGAGAAAAAAAGAACAAAGCTGGAGGAATCACACTTCCTGATTATAAAATATATTACAAAGCTATAGTAATCAGAACAGTATGGAACTGACATAAAAACAGACACAGACCAACTGGACAGAATTGAGAGCCCAGTAATAAACACATACATATATGTAGGGTGAAGTAATATTTGACAAGGGAGCCAAGAATATACAATTGGTAAAGAATGGTCTCTTCAATAACTGGTGGGAAAACTGTATATCCACATGCAAAAGAATGAAATTGGACCCTTCCCTTACACCATATGCAAAAATCAACTCAAAGTGGATCAAAGACTTAAGTGCAAGACCTAAAACCACAAAACTTCTAGAAGAAAATGGGAAATACTGCTTGACATTGGTCTTGGCAATGATTTTTTTGGATATGACCTCAAAAGCACAGGCAACAGGGCTTCCCTGGTGGCGCAGTGCTTGAGAGTCTGCCTGCTGATGCAGGGGACACGGGTTCGTGCCCCGGTCCGGGAAGATCCCACATGCCGCGGAGCGGCTGGGCCCGTGAGCCATGGCCGCTGAGCCTGCGACCCTGTGCTCCGCAACATGAGAGGCCACAACAGTGAGAGGCCTGCGTACCGCAAAAAAAAAAAAAAAAAAAAAGCACAGGCAACAAAAGCAAAAATAAACAAGTGAGACTACAGCAAATTAAAAACTTCTGCACAGCAAAGGAAACAATCAGCAATATAAAAAAGCACCCTACGGCACAAGAGAAAATATTTGTAAAATGTGTGTCTGATAAGGGGTTAATTGCCAAAATATACCAGGAACTCATATAATCCAATAATGAAGAAAAACAAAAACAAACAATAACAAAAACAAAACCAAACCTAATTAAAAAATGGCCAGTGACCTGAATAGACATTTTTCCAAAGAATACATACAAATGGCCAACAGGTAGATGAAAAAATTACTCAACACCACTAATAATGGAAATGCAAGTCAAAACCACATGTGATATAACCTCACACCTGTTAGAATCGCTATTATCAAAAGACAAATGATAACAAGTGTTGGCGAGGGTGCTGAGATAAGGGAATCCTTGTATACAGTGCTGGTGGGATATAAGTTGGTACAATCATTATGTTAATCAGTATGGAGGTTCCTCAATACATTCAAAATAAAACTACCATATGATCTAGCAATCCTACTTCTGGGTATATATCCAAAGGAAATAAAATCACTTTATCAAAGAGATATCTGCATTCTCATGTTTACTGTAGCATTATTCATAATAGCCAAGCTATGGAAATACCCTCTTTCTATCAAAGGATGAATGGATACACATATAAAATGAAATATTTTTCAGCCATAAAAAGAGAAAGAAATCCTTACATTTGTGACAACATAGATGAACCTGGAGGACCTTATGGAGGACATAAGTAAAATAAGCCCAACAGAGAAAGACAAATACTGTACAATCTCACAAAGTGGAATCTAACAGAGTTGAACAGTGGTTACTAGGGGCTGGGAGGTGGGGAAAATGGGGGGCTGTTTATTAAATGGTAAAAACTTTCAGTTATATGGTAAGTTTGGGGATCTAATGGACAGCATGGTGAATATAATAATAATATTGAACTGTATACTTGAAATTTGCTGAGAGTGGTTTTTAAGGGTTCTTGTTTTAAAGAAAAGGTAACTGTGAGGTAATGGATGCGTTAACTTGATTGTGGTAATCATTTCACAATGTATACATATATCAAACCATCATGTTGTACATCTTAAATATATACAATTTTTATTTGTAATTATACCTCAATAAAACTGGAAAAATGATAAAAATATATTCTAGATACAAGTCCATCAAATATGTGGTTTGCAAATATTTTCTCCTGTCACCCAACTTGTCTTTTCATTCTCTTAACAGCGTCTTTCATAGAGCAAAAGTTTTAAATTTGGCCAAGTCTAATGTATCAATTTTCCTTTTATGGATTGTATGTTTGCAGTCAAGTCTAAGAACTTTTTGCCTAGACTTTCTCCCATTCCCCCCACTATAGATCTGGCAGCCATTAAAAGCATAAGGGAACAGAGAAATGCAAATCAAAACTACAAGGAGGTATCACCTCACACCAATCAGAATGGCCATCATCAGAAAATCTACAAACAACAAACGCTGGAGAGGGGGTGGAGAAAAGGGAACCCTCTTGCACTGTTGGTGGGAATGTAAATTGATACAGCCACTAAGGAGAACAGTATGGAGGTTCCTTAAAAAACTAAAAATAGAATTACCATATGACCCAGTAATCCCACTACTGGGCATATACCCAGAGAAAACCATAATTCAAAAAGAGTCATGTACACAATGTTCATTGCAGCACTATTTACAATAGCCAGGCCATGGAAGCAACCTAAATGCCCATCGACAGACGAATGGATAAAGAAGATGTGGTACATATATACAATGGAATATTACTCAGCCATAAAAAGGAACGACATTGGGTCATTTGTAGAGACGTTGATGGACATAGAGACTGTCATACAGAGTGAAGTAAGTCAGGAAGAGAAAAACAAATATCGTATATTAACGCATATATGTGGAATCTAGAAAAATGTTACAGATGAACTGGTTTGCAAGGCAGAAATAGAGACAAAGATGTACAGAACAAATGTATGGAACCAAGGGGGGAAATTGGGGTGGTGGTGGTGGTGGTGGTGGGATGAACTGGGAGATTGGGATTGACATATATACACTAATATGTATAAAATGGATAACTAATAAAAACCTGCTGTATTAAAAAATAAAATAAAATATTAAAAAAAGCATAAGGAAACACACTATGAGTAACTTTATTCTCATAAATTCAACAACTTAAAAGAAATTGATCAACTGTTTGAAAGTTACACAGTACCAACCCAATCAGATGAAACAGATAGCTGAGTCCCTTGGCCATTAAAGAAATTGAATTTGTAATTTAAAAGTTCTCTAAAAAGAGATCTCCAGGCCCAGATGGCTTCACTAAAGAATTTTTACAAAATATTTAAAGAAGAATTTTCACACCAATTTTACATAATATCTTCCAGGAAACAGAAAAGGAGAGAATGCTCCCAATTTTTATGAGGTCAGTATTATCTTGATATCAAAATCAGACAAAGGGAATTTTTAAAAAAGTGTACATTAGTATCTCTCAGGAACGTAGAGGTAAAAATCAAACCCAACAAGGTACAAAAGAAATTATACACCAGCACCGAGTATAAATTTATCCCAGGTAAGTGAGGCTACTTCAAACATTCAAAAATTAATCAATCCACCATATCAACAGGCTAAAGAAGAAAAATCATATGACTATATATAGTCAGAAACAGAAAAACCATTTGACAAAATCCAACACCCATTCATGATAAAAACGAAACTCTTAGCAAGTTAGGAATAGAGGGAACTACCTAACTTTAACTTGATAAAGAGAATCCACATCTAACATCATACTTTTATTGGTTCTTGGTATGATGAGTGATTTTCTATTGTATGCTGGACATTTTAGATATTATATTAGGAGGCTCTCAATGCCATTTAAATCTTCTATTCTAGAAGGCAGCATCCTATTTAGGTTTAGTATGTAGATGCTGGCCTATTTTGTGGGCCCTGTTTCCAACGAGAATTTTCTTTTCTGGGCTCTTTCAATGCAATTCTGGTCTGCTTTGTTCTTTTGGTTCCACTGGATCCCTTCTGGTGCCACCTACAAGGTAGAAGCCATTTTCCTGGGTTCCCTCTTGCCATTAGATGGAAGGTTTAGGATGTTGGACTTCTGAGGTAGAGAGCAATATCCTGGCCTGTTCACTGGCCACCTGGTGTCAGTGGGTTTCCCACTCTGTCTCTGCTGGTGCCACTGGAGGAGAGAAGGGCTACCTGGACTGCATTTTGCTGTTGGGTGGAGAGACAGGAAGTTCCTGTTCTGGATCTTCTTCTGTGGCTGGCTGGATGGCCAGGGGCTGCTAGGTCTGGATTGCCTCTGCCACTGACTGGAAGGCCAGGAGATACTAGGCTTGTTGGAGCTGAGGTACAGGAGGATCCCCTCTCTCCTCCCATTTACTTTGGGGTAGGAGATGGGTTGATCTGCTCAGGTTCTGCTGTTGCTGCTGTGGGTAGATCAAGCCTGCTTCTGTTAGCAGATGATGAATGAAGTGTGTTGGCCCACATGCGTTCTGCTTTTACTGCTGCTGAGGACAGACTGGGTCACCACTGCTAATGGATGTGGGGTGTGGAGTGGGTGGATAAGCCTGGGTTCCACTGTTGCTGCTGTTGTGAGCAGATCATGCCTGTTGCTGCCAGTGCATGTGGGGCATGGGATGGGTTGGCTTATAAGGGTACCGTAGGCAATTCAGTCTGCTGTTGCCACTAGGCGTGGGTCTCCCTGCTTAGTCTCTGCTGGGCTTCCCCTTCTTTTGACCAGAGAGCATGCTTTTCTTGTTTTGTTTGTTTTGTTTAGCTTTCCCTATGCCTGTTGTTGGTTTTAGGTTGCAGACATATCTGGTGTCCAGTCTGAGATGTATGACAGATAAAACAAGAATTCATCTAGGTGTACCTTTTAAAATCTTGAGAATCCTAGATGATCCGCCATCTCTCCATATTTCAGAGTCCTTTTATGATTGCTGAATTATTTTCAGAGTATTTACTTTGTATTTAGAGGGGAGGAGAAGGGAAAATTAGTTGACACCATCTTGTACCAAAATTGGAAGCTCTCACTCCTAGGTTTTTAATCAAATAAAGTGCAAAACTTAGGTTCACACAAAAAAACACACATATACATAACAGATTAATTTGTAATCACCCCAAACTGGAAACAACTCCAAGACCCTTCAACTGGTAAAAATTTCTGATAACATCCATACAATGGAATACCACTCAGCAATTAAAACAAATGAGTACCCACAACACCACAGGTCTCAGACACATTATGCTAAATGAAAGAAGCCAGATTCAAAAGGCTACAAATTATTATTCCTTCTACATGACATTCTGGAAAAGGGAAAACAATTCGTACATATTACAGACCAGTGGTTGCTAGGGTTTGGTGGAGAGTAGTGGGTGACCCCAAAGGGGCACAGGGGAATTCTACTTTATGTATCTTGAAGCTCAGTTATTAGGTACATATATATTCTATGATATTAAGATATATGATATTACATATATATTCTATGAATTACTGTGACTGTTGATAGATATGATAATATTGAGGTTATATTTTTACAAAGGTCTCATCTATTAAAGATATATATTAAAGTATTGTGGATTAAGTGGTATGATTTTTGTTGTTTGCCTTTAAAAAATTATGTATTTCAATAAGAAGGGAGTAATTAACTCTGTAGCCTAATGTAGAGAGAATGCATAAGAACAGAGAAATAACCAATGGATTTGGTCAGTTGCAATGTTGGTGATGTTGATGAGTGCAGTGTCAGTGAAGTAAGAGGGGTAGAAGCCTGATTGGAATGGGCTGAAGAGAAAATAGTAGCAACGGAAGTGGAAACAGTAATGGCATGATTTGCTATGAGGAGAAACAGAGAACTGGAAAAGAAACTGATTAAGATCGTATTTTTTAAAGATGGAAGAGGTAGACATTGATAATTTGGATAGTGGGGTTATGAATGCAGGATCAAACACCTTGAGATGGCAGCAGGATAATGGAGGAGTTAACCTTTGATGGGATCAAAGACCCTTCATTTATTTCACTTGGAGGGAAGGCAGCAAGTGTGGTCCAGATGGAGCTGGGATGGAGAATGAGGTGGTAGGAAGATGGAGGTCCAGTCTGCTCCCATTTCTTCCGTTAAGTGTGTGGTGACATATATCATCATTATGGAGTTCAAGGGGAGAAGGAGAATTGGGCATTTGGAGAGGAGGTGGTATGAATTATTCAATTCAGACAAAAGAAATGCAAACACACCAGACAAATTTATTGGGAAATTTGTCCAATGGAGATTTGCAGTCATGAATATGAACCGAGACCATGCCTCATGGGTGTTTTGCTCTAGCCATGCCACTCTTCTGCAGGCACAGAGCAGGTAGATAATTAAGTTCATCCCACATACGTTTGCAGAGAGAGGGCCAAGGGAAGTCAAGTTGTTCAGGGGAGAGATTACAATAATTAAGTATAGAATCTGAACTGGGTAAAGAGAGATACAAGGGTTTGTCAGGGTGATGGCTGTAAAAAAAATTGGTAGGGTCAATAGATTGGAAGACTTTATCACATCTGAAGAAACATTCTATTAGGGGTATTTGAAAGGTGAACTGGAAGGAGAGAATAAAGTAAAAAGAGAATGAAACTCCAGAAAAAGCAATTTGGGCAACAGTACACTGATTGGTAATGGTAAGGTCCAGAGCCACACTATTCAATGGAATAGCCACTAGCCATATGTGGCTATTTAAACATAAATTAATTTAAATAAAATTTAAAAGTCAATTCTTTAGTTGCACCAGGGACATTTCAAGTGCTCCACAACCATGTGTGGCTAGTGGCTACCACACTGGACAGCACTGATACAGAACATTTCCATCATCACAGAAATTGCTACTGAGTATAGCACTGCTTTAGTATGACCATGGGAGTGAGAATGGAGACAAGGGTAGGGATGGGGGTAATATCAGGGGGAGCCCTGTTTGCTACACAGCCCTCAGGGAGAGGAGTTCTGGTAAGGGAATTGTGAAGACGGAGTTGAACTGCCATGAACTCCTGTTTTCTACCAGTCCCCAGGGTCATCACCTGCTCGTCAGCATGCCCAGTCACATCTATCACTAAGGCCAGCCTCCTGTCCTTTACCTGGGGCTGCACTGCACTTCTACCAGAAGAGTCAGCCACATGCTGACCTTTTCACTAGGTGATTGCCAAAGATACCTTGTCTGAGGCATCTGAGATCCCAGTCAATCCCCAACTGCAGGCGGACAGAGAAGACCCTCACTGTCTGTTCTCATGTGCAGAGGTACCCAAAGTCTTCAGGAAGATGTAGCTCACCTGTCTCGCAGATTCCTGGCGAGAAGAAAGGAATGGGGCTGGGGATGGGAGCTGGGATTTCTGGCTCTGTTATATTAAACTAGGACCTTGGTTTCTGTTTTGACAACTAAGTAAGTAGCATATGGAATTGTCAGTCCAGAACAGGGTTCATGGGCACGAAGGAAAAACCTCACTAAAGTTCTTTCCCAGGGAGAAGAGGAGGCAGCATGGCTTAAGTCCTAAAATTTCCATTAGCTGGTGGGGAGACCATGAGACATACCAGATCGGGTTAGACCTTTACTGAGGACAGGAGACAGTGCCGCTTCTTGCCATCCCTTAGGGGTTGATGATTTCAATGTGGAACTGCAGGTGAGTGGCTGTGACTACACAGTGGCCCCGGAGAAGAGCACAGGTCTGGTAGTTGTGGCCTTGCCAGTGGTACTGGATCATGTAGATGGCGTTGAGCACCTGGCAGTATCACCAGTGGATGTGCCACATACGGACCAAAGACTGGAGCTTGACCACTGCCCTCTCTGTGTGTGCGTAGGAAATCAGGGCTGCCCTCCGCTTCTTCTGCTGCAGCCTGTCCATTGTCAGTCTCCACCAGCACTGAATGATCCAGGCCTTGAGGGCTGCGTGTAACAATGTCTGGCATACTGGGGTTCCACGCAACCAGGCCTGGATCTTCTTGGCTGCTTTTATTCTTTCTTTTATATTTTTCTAGGCAGAGATAAGAGAGACCACTCAGGGAACTTCCTGCCACCAACTTCTAGGATATTCCTGGAAAGGGCCTTGATTCTTTTAGTAGTCAGCCCTTCTTTGGAGACTTCAGGGGAGTTAGCAGGACACTGAGAGGCAGAAGTCCTGGGTGGTGAGTCCTCCTCTGCCAACATGGACACATCACCTTACCCTCAGAGTCATAGCATCCTCCTCTTGACTACCTCACAGGTACATGGATCAAGAGAAAAACCATTAGTAACTAGGAGGGTGCATTAAGAATGTGAGGGACTTAGTTGTACTCTACCTCTTCAGTGCTTATTGGGTTTGGGAGGTTTGGCCTCATAATGCTTTTGCCTGGTATTCTCTGCTAATTCTAGTCCCATTGGCTGATTTCTTTCTGCCACAACACTGTATTTCAATATGGCGGTGAGTTTTTAACACCGTCATCACATATTCTACTCCCAGACTCCCCATACTGTGAACATTCTACTTTCTAATTCAGAGTCCTCACATTCTCATCTCCCAGCTCATGCATTTCTTGATGGCTTTCCTTCTCGCCATTCACTCTTTGTGTCACAGTCAAACCCAGAGCCAGAGAGTTCATGCTGAGAAGGAAGTGAAGGAAAAATAAGCCGGTATTGAATTGACTCCTGATTACTTTAAACTCTGGATCCCTAAGAGGCACAATTCCACACCCTCATGACACTGACATAAATGTTCTGGATATCTGTTAATTATATGGAGATTTTACCTACCTCTTTTTTCTGTTGCTCCTTCTGCTTCTGCTTCTTCTTCTGCTTCAACCTAATTTCGTCTTCGGAATCCTCAATCACAATTAAAATTAAATTGCCGTCTGTCTGTCATGAGAATTAAACAGGAAATGAATGGATGAGCTAAGAGTACTGTTTCTCTCTATGGCTCTGCACAAAGATACCCCCTGCCTCAGCATCCTCTTTTTTCCCAAAAGCTGTGAAGTCCAGAGTCATTCCCACCCACCCTCAAGCCTGCCGAGTGGATCTGGCCATGTCTCTTACACAAAATCGAACCCCCATGGCCTGTCTCTAGATGGTTCCTTTATTTCTCTACTTCCCAAGGTCTGATGAGTAATATGAGTAGGAGAGCTATGAGTTAACAATCGCTTTATGACATCAGGATTAGGATATATGCCACATAAGTTGAGTCTTCCTCGCAAACAAGCTCCATGGGAACTTGTATTACCTGTCCACTTCCCTTCTGTCAGAGATGTATCCGAACTCAGAGTGGAAAGATAGGGCACTTGGGTGCCGTTCCTCCAGTGAGGCCCATCCACATCCTTTCTCATTATCAGTCACACAGGAGGGCAGGAGAGACCATGGCAGGATAGCTCCATACAGCTCTCTACTGTCTCTCAGACTTAGCACTTCCTGTCTTCCCTGGATTCAAGTTTCAGTACCTCAGTGTGCCATAGGAAACTAGAGAGACTAGATGAATCTAGAAAGCAGTAAAATAAAAAAAAAGCTTAAAATTAATTAAATAGGAAACAAAAATGAGTGGTGGAAGATAAATTTAAAAGCTGGTATTTTTCAAATTACTTTCAAATTACTGCCTCTGTGCTGGGTCTCAGAGCGTGTGAGATTTTTCATGAGCGCTTTAAGAACAGTCTCTGTTTCCCACAGCCCTCCAGCTTTCCCCCACACAAGCCCCGCTGGACTTCAAAGCCAGAAATTCTGGGGGCTCATCATCCCGGTGCAGGATCCCCAGGCGAAGGAGCCCTGTGTGGGGCTCAGGCCCCTCACTTCTTGGGGAGAGCCTCTGTAATAATTATTATCGTTTTGTTTGTGGGTTGTCACCCTGGAGTTTGGGTCTTGACTATACTGACTCCATTCCTCCCACCCATCTCGTGTGGTTCCTTCTTCATATCTTTAGCTGTGGAAAATCGTTTCTGCTAGTCTTTAGGTCATTCTCATAGATAGTCGCTTTGTAAGTAGTTTTAATTTTGGTATTCTTGTGGGAGGAGGTGAGCTCAGGGTCTACGTACTTCACCATCTTGGTCACACCTTCAGATTTAGCATTTCTTAATGTTTATTGCCTATTTATTACTATGATTATTTCTAAGCAGAGAATTTCTTTTTTAAAAATTTTTTATTGGAGTATAGTTGATTTACAATGTTGTCTTACTTTCAGGTGTACAGCAAAGTGAATCAGTTTTATATATATATATATATATATATATATATACCCACTCCTTTTTTTTTTTTTAGATTCTTTTCCCATATAGGCCATCACAGAGTATTGAGTAGAGTTCCCTGTGCTACACAGTAGGTCCTTATTATCTATTTTATATATAGTAGTGTGTATATGTCAATCCCAATCTCCCAATTTATCCTCCCCTCCCCCTTATCCCCAGGTAACCATAAGTTTGTTTTCTACATCCGTGACTCTTACCTCTTTTTTTTTAAGATTCCACATATATGCGATATCATATGATATTTGTCTTTCTGTGTCTGACTTACATCACTCAGTATGACAATCTCTAGGTCCATCCATGTTGCTGCAAATGGCATTATTTTGTTCTTTTCTATGGCTCAGTAATATTCCATTGTATATATGTACTATATCTTCTTTATCCATTCCTTTGTTGATGGACATTTAGGTTGCTTCCATGTCCTGGCTATTGTAAATAGAACTGCAATGAACATTTGCGTACATGTATCTTTTTTTTTTTTTTTAAAGATTTTCTTGATGTGGACCATTGTTAAAGTCTTTACTGAATTTGTTACAATATTGCTTCTGTTTTATGTTTTGGTTTTTTGGCTGCAAGGCATGTGGGATCTTAGCTCCCCCACCAGGAATCAAACCCACACCCCCTACATTGGAAGGCAAAGTCTTAGCCACTCAACCACCAGGCAAGTCCCTGCATGTATCTTTTTGAACTATGGTTTTCTCCAGGTATATGCCTAGGTGTGGGATTGCTGGGTCATATGGTAGTTCTATTTCTAGTTTTTTAAGGAAAATCCATACTGTTCTCCACAGTGGCTGCACCAATTTACAGTGCCACCAAAAGTGTAGGAGGGTTCCCTTTTCTCCACACCCTCTCCAGCATTTATTGTTTGTAGATTTTTTGATGATGGCCATTCTGACTGGTGTGAGGTGATACCTCATTGTAGTTTTGATTTGCATTCCTCTAATAATTAGTGATGTTGAGCACCTTTTCATGTGCTTTTTGGCCATCCATATGTCTTCTTTGTGGAAATGTCTATTTAGATCTTCTGCCCATTTTTTGATTGGGTTACTTGTTTTTTTGACATTAAGCTGCACAAGTCGTTTGTATATTTTGGAGATTAATCCCTTGTTGCTTGCTTCGTTTGCAAATATTTTCTCCCATTCTGAAGGTTGTCTTTTTGTTTTGTTTATGCTTTCCTTTGCTGTGCAAAAGCTTTGAAGTTTCATTAGATGCCATTTATTATTTTTGTTTTTTATTTTCATCACTCTAGGAGGTGGATCAAAAAAGATCTTGCTGCAATTTATGTCATAGAGTGTTCTGCCTATGTTTTCCTCTAAGAGTATTATAGTGTCCGGTCTTACATTTAGGTCTTTAATCCATTTTGAGTTTATTTTTGTGTACGGTGTAGGGAGTGTTCTAATTTCATTCTTTTACATGTAGCTGTCTTATTTTCCCAGCACCACTTATTGAAGAGACCGTCTTTTCTCCACTGTATATTCTTGCATCCTTTGTCAGAGATTAGGTGACCAAAAGTGTATGGGTTTATCTCTGGGCTTTCTATCCTGTTCCACTGATCTATATTTGTTTTTGTGCCTGTACCATACTGTTTTGATTACTGTAGCTTCATAGTATACTCTGAAGTCAGGGAGCCTGATTCCTCCAGCTCCATTTTTCTTTCTCAAGATTGCTTTGTCTATTCGGGGTCTTTTTTGTTTCCATACAAATTGTAAAATTTTTTATTCTAATTCTGTGATAAATGCCATTGGTAATTTGACAGGGGTTGCACTGAATCTGTAGATTGCTTTAGATAGTATAGTCATTTTCACAATATTGATTCTTCCAATCCAAGAACATGGTATATCTCTCCATCTGTTTGTGTCATCTTTGATATCTTTCATCAGTGTCTTACACTTTTCTGAGTACAGGTCTTTTGCCTCCTTAAGTAGGTTTATTCCTAGGTATTTTATTCGTTTTGTTGTGATGGTAAATGGGAGTGTTTCTTTATTTTTTCTAATTTTTCACTGTTAGTGTATAGGAATGCAAGAGATTTCTGTGTATTAATTTTGTATCCTGCAACTTTACCAAATTCATTGATCAGCTCTAGTAGTTTTCTGGTAGGGTCTTTAGGATTATCTATGTATAGAATCATGTCATCTGCAAACAGTGACAGTTTTACTTCTTCTTTTCCAATTTGGATTCTTTTATTTCTTTTCTTCTCTGATTGCCGTGGCTAGGACTTCCAAAACTATGTTGAATAATAGTGGTGAGAGTGAACATCCTTGTCTTGTTCCTGATCTTAGAGGAAATGCTTTCAGTTTTTCACCATTGAGAATGATGTTTGCTGTGCGTTTGTCATATATGGCCTTTATTATGTTGAGGTAGGTTCCCTCTATGCCCACTTTCTGGAGAGTTTTTATCATATATGGGTGTTGAATTTTGTCAAAAGCATTTTCTGCATCTATGGAGATGATCATATGGTTTTTATTCTTCAATTTGTTAATATGGTGTATCACATTGATTGATTTGCGTATATTGAAGAATCCTTGCATCCCTGGGATAAATCCCACTTGATCATGGTGTATGATCCTTTTAATGTGTTGCTGGATTCTTTTTGCTAGTATTTTATTGAGGATTTTTGCGTCTATATTCATCAGTGATATTGGTCTGTAATTTTCTTTTTTTCTAGTATCTTTGACTGGTTTTGGTATCAGGGTGATGGTAGCCTCATAGAACGAGTTTGGGAGTGTTCCTTCCTCTGCCGTTTTTTGGAAGAGTTTGAGAAGGATGGGTGTTAACTCTTCTGTAAATGTCTGATAGAATTCACCTGTGAAGCCATCTGGTCCTGGACTTTTGTTTGTTGGAAGATTTTTAATCACAGTTTCAATTTCAGCGCTTGTGATTGGTCTGTTCATATTTTCTGTTTCTTCCTGGTTCAGTCTTAGAAGGTTATACCTTTCTAAGAATTTGCCCATTTCTTCCAGGTTGTCCATGTTATTGTCATAGAGTTGCTTGTAGTAGTCTCTTAGGATGCTTTGTATTTCTGCGGTGTCTGTTGTAACTTCTCCTTTTTCATTTCTAATTTTATTGATTTGGGTCCTCTCCCTCTTTTTCTTGATGAGTTTGGCTAATGGTTTATCAATTTTGTTTATCTTCTCAAAGAACCAGCTTTTAGTTTTATTGATCTTTGCTATTGTTTTCTTTGTTTCTGTTTCGTTTATTTCTGCTCTGATCTTCATGATTTCTTTCCTTCTGCTAACTTTGGGTTTTGTTTGTTCTTCTTTCTCTAGTTCCTTTTGGTGTAAGGTTAGATTGTTTGAGATTTCTCTCGTTTCTAGAGGTAAGATTGTATTGCTATAAACTTCCCTCTTAGAACTGTTTTTGCTGCATCGCATAGGTTTTGGATCGTCGTGTTTTCTTTGTCATTTGTCTCTAGGTATTTTTTGATTTCCTCAGTGATCTCTTGGTTATTTAGTAACATATTGTTTAGCTTCCGTGTGTTTGTGTTTTTTATGTTTTTTTCCCCTGTAATTGATTTCTAATCTCATAGCATTGTGGTCATAAAAGATGCTTGATATGATTTCAATTTTTGTAAATTTACTGAGACTTGATTTGTGACCCAGGATGTGATCTATCGTGGAGAATGTTCCGTGCGCACTTGAGAAGAAAGTGTAATCTGCTGTTTGGGGATGGGATGTCCTATAAATATCAATTAAATCTATCTGGTCTATTGTATCATTTAAAGCTTGTGTTTCCTTATGAATTTTCTGTTTGGATGATCTGTCCATTGGTGTAAGTGAGGTGTTAAAGTCCCCCACTATTATTGTGTTACTGTCGATTGCCTCTTTTATAGCTGTTAGCAGTTGCCTTATGTATTGAGGTGTTCCTATGTTGGGTACATATATATCTATAATTGTTATATCTTCTTCTTGGATTGATCCCTTGATCATTATGTAGTGTCCTTCCTTGTCTCTTGAAACGTTCTGTATTTTAAAGTCTATTTTATCTGATATGAGTATTGCTACTCCAGCTTTCTTTTGATTTCCATTTGCATGGAATATCTTCTTCCATCCCCTCACTTTCAGTCTGAATGTGTCCCTAGGTCTGAGGTGGGTCTCTTGTAGACAGCATATATATGGGCCTTGTTTTTGTATCCATTCAGCGAGCCTGTCTTTTGTTTGGAGCATTTAATACTTTCACGTTTAAGGTAATTTTTGATACGTATGTTCCTATTACCATTTTCTTAATTGTTTTGGGTTTGTTTTTGTTG